ACGGTATCACTTCATTAAAAATGCTCTTCCAGTGAGCCGTTTACATAACACAATTTTCTGAGAAACTACATTAACGCTAAAATAGATCTATATATTAAGAAAATCTATCCTATAACTAATTACACAAAAATAAATCAACCTTAAAGGCACTCTAAATTAACTCCTTCAAGGCAAACAACTCCTTCAAGGCAATCCCTGGTTCAAGACAATGACAGGGCAAACTTGAAAGAGTTGAGATTTATCTCGTCTTTAAGCACATTTTCTAGGCCATTCCACATGACTGCTCCCCTATAGCTAAAAGCCCGCTTAGCATCTTCAGTATGGGGCCTTGGTACAAAAATGTTGTTCGAGGCACCTTGCACGTTGTAGGAACGAACCCCGGAGGTTGGTTTAAACATGTTCTTTAAACTCTCAGGGTAAAGGTTATTTAGAGATTTAAAAACACTTATTGCGAGCTGTTTAGAGTGTCTTTGCTCAAGGGTATCCCATCTCAAGTCTTGGAGGATATCCGCAGATCTTGTATTATAATCACTAAGTTATTAGATTCTAGATGCAGGTGCAGTATAGAGGACCATAGATGGTTTTTAGTTTCTTTTTTACGGTTAATGTCACCTTGAAAATCAAATATGGTAAAAGGGTATCTTTATTTTCCAAAGAAGTTAAAATGTTAGAGGTATAGACACTATCTTTCTACCGATACTGCACCACACTATCACGATTGTCAAAGCGGTTTCATTTTAACTATCGATCTGGTCATCGCTATCGCAGCGTTAATATTGTGATAAATTGATAGTTTGATCTATTGTTACAGCCTTAACCGTACCACGTCTTGTTACTTATTTTTGCAGGTCTAATATTTAATGATCATAAAAAAATCGTGAAATTGAAGACCTACAAAAAATATTCTCACAAAGATTAAATGCATAAAATTTAATACCCAATAAAAAATTCAAATTACAGAAAAAAATGATTACCACATAATAAGAACAACATAATTACACAGGATATGTATCGACAAATTTACAAGTTCCATTTTGTATCTTCTAATAACATTAAAACACTAAAAAATTAACTTTCAAATAATTATAGGTTTTGCTTATTCGGCTTTATCTAAAAATTTCTGAAAAGTTAAGAGTTTTAGAAACATAAAATGAAGTTGAGAATGCTAGAATCCAGAAATTTGATGCCCCTAAAATTTTTTCTTCAAAGTTGCCTATTGAAAATGTGACATAATACCCCCCAAAATACTGTCTCGCCAAAATCAAAAATTAAGTACCAATAATTAAGCTATTAAGTTATTGCCATCAAAAAGTGAATGAAAAGCAAAAAGTTAGTTGGGTACAGTACCTCAGATTTGACTGATCTGTAATAAGCATTGTAGAATAATTTTTACTTTGGCAAATTCCCAAGATTGTCTGCATGGAGGGATGTAGGATATGAAGATTTTGTCTAATGGACTCCCTTGATGCATTGAAATTGTCTCTCCATGGACTTGAATAATCAATGCCACTAAAACAAGATGTTACATCAGCAGTTAGGACTATTATATACACATACCATAAATCAATCCATATTGCTGTAATAGCTTTTGTGTGTGTTAATGTTTTGTATTTATTGTAGTATAGGGTACTATATACAGGGTGTCCCGCAGTATGGTTGCTCAAACAAATAGGAAAATAGGAAACTCAGGATTGAGGAAGAAATAGGAAAAATAGGAAACTTTGTATTAAACAATAGGAGAAAAATAGGAAAATCAATAGTACTTTTCTCGACAAAGATAGAATCCCTGCACCACATCAGGGTCATAATAAAGGCTATGAGTCCTCAGCTCATAGGCGTACAAGCCGGGGGGGCGAGGGGGGCTGCAGCCCCTCCCAAATTTTGGGCAACTCAGCTTTTTTTGGGCAGCAAGAGAAAATTTAAGCAAAGCCTGTTTTTAAAGACGTCTTCATGTTTATTTAATTATTTTGAAGACCTGAATATTAACCTGAAGTCGGCGTAATAATCCAGTTACATTCACACCAGACAGTAATCGCCTAACATGCGATGAGTAATTTACATATTTCTTTTTTTGTTATTGTTGTACAGCGTCGTGAATTGATTAGAATAAACTTTTGCATAACTTTCTCGAATCATCTCCACTCGAAGAACAGGGTGGGTCTGAAAACGGAGGAGTGGCTGACTAATTCTCAGTTTGAATTACGAGAAGCATCTTAATTCTTTCAAAAAATCTATCACTAATTTGTTGAAGTAGACCGAAATGTTTACAAAACCGCTAACAAGAGCGCTGTGATACATACTAATCAAGTCCTTCTTTCTAGCAATCGGGCAGAGCTATCCCCACGATCTTTCACACACGTTTTTAAAAAGATTAAAACTACTATGAGGTGAAATTGCATGTCAAAAGGGCTTCGTTTTCTACAGATAACGGCCAAACCCCACAATTTTCTTTTTCTTACCGTATTTCTAACGGTAAAAACTTCATCCCTAACTATCTCGATAAAGCTCTTACAGATTTTGCTTAAACTTTGCAAACATCGAGAAGACCGTATTGGCGAAAAAAGCTCCTGTGAACGACTTTGTAAGGTTCCAAGTGCCGAGAATTTTTAATTTTGTTGAAGTAAAATAGGTAATGGCGTCATTTCGATGCTATGACAACTCCGATGTCATTGCAACCCTGATCAATATGACAAATTTTCATCTACTGTGGTGGCAATTTTTCCTAATGTTTGTTTATGACGACGTAGTTTATGCTCAAACTTAGCATTTACCCTGAAAAACTGTATCGAGCCACCTTCATACGCCAGTACGGCCTATGTTGTTGCAATATGGCCCTCGTTTCTTTTCGACTCTTTTGTAAAAATTTGGGACACTTGCGAGAACTTTTTGGGCAAATGGTTTACCAGCCCCCCTGGCAAAAAATTTCCCGTACGCCTATGCCTCAGCTTCTATGTTCGCAGGATTTAGATCAACTTTCAAAGGTAAGAAGGCGTGAAAACGATCAGCAACGTTTAGTTTATTGGCTAAGAACTGATGATATGCTTGACTAAGGCGGAGCGTGGTTCTATAATCGAAGATGATCATATGCAATAATATTCCCTTCAAGTTGGCGGCAACTCTTTGAAAAGCTTTGAAGAGTGAAATTTCTTAGGACAGAAATTTCTTACGATTGCATAATTGTCATTGAAGGATAAAAGTCCTATGGAAAGCTTTCCTTCCGTTAATCTAGCTCTGCAATTGGTAGCTGGTTGAGAAAATGCTTGTTTGAGTCAAAAGACCCATTATTTAATTTTAATTTAAGTACAGAACCAGGCTTTCTGCAGTGTATGCAAAATGACACTGATCTGCGCAATTTACCCGTCAAAATTGGAACTTAAGGACACATCCACATCATCTACTGAAGTGTGTTATCTCGACACAAATATCAAGACTGGCGATCGACGTAACCACACCTTTCCGTATCAGCATCTACGATAAGAGAAATGACTTCGCATTTCGGATTGTCAACTTTCCTCATATGGACAGCACATTATTCCTGCCAATCCAGCTTATGGTGTTTACATATTTCAGCTGGTGAGATGTGCTAGAATTTGCACATCCAAAGTTGATTTCATAAATAGACTCCGCAGACTTTCCCCCTAGAAAAAATTCTACCCTACAAAAACCCTGTGAGATCCTGTAAAATCCTGTTTCCAGCCCTATTCACGTTCTTTCAGGGCTGTAAACTGGCTGTAACCATAACAGGGCTGTGACAAAGCTGCAACTTACCTAAGTTAAAGCAAGTGGAGCTCAGTGACAGGGCTGTAAAAGTGTACATAGTTAAGTGTAACAAGCCTGTCACATGGCTGTGAAAATATCCAGTTACCATAACAGGGTTAAGACAGGGCTACCTAGTAATGCAGAAGAACTAGGACACCATTGAACAATTCAGCAACAATTAACTGAAACACAAAAGGATTGCAGGCTCTGTTCATGAGGAAATGTAACACACTGTGGATCATGAAGGAAAGACGATCGAGGTGAGCGATTTCAAAAGAATGTTTTAGACTAATTATGAACTGTCAACCCTCGGAACCGTTAGTACTATGGAACCATTCCGCGTTTCATCTCTTATAACTGCTGACAAAAGTTGTTTTTTGTTTTTAAGCTGGGTTATTGTAAAGTCGGCATTATTATATATAATTGAAGTGCTAGTTGTACATTAAATCAAGCGACTTCATGACCAAGTGTTTACAAGCTAGATCAGACTGTTGCATGTAGTTCAAATTTCGGTCAGTGTAAAACACAGACTGCGGACTGCAGACTGCAGACTGCGGACCAGGGGTAAAATGCAGACTGAGTGTAAAATGCAGACTGCCGTTTAAGAGTAAAATGCAGGCTAGGGGTAAAATGCAGAATTAAGATCGACTGCAGACTTTTCAAACACTTGTGCTCCTTCTTCTCGAAATAGGTGAATTATAGCCTCAGCTAGAGCAGGCGTTTTATTGTGTTGAATCATTTTTTGACTCGCCCCAACACTCGGTCAGTCAAAAGTCCAAATCGATCGCACAGCAAAATATGCCTGCTTTGCAGACTAGGTGAATTAGCTAGCTGGTATCAGTTACACACCTCGCTTCCTTGTCGAAGTACATTGCACAATCGTTACATTCGCCAGAAGTTTCCATGAACGTCTGAACAGCTTACGTCCGCCTACACTGATTTGCAATACTGTCATAGAAGGTCATCCAAATTTGCTGCAGAACATCTTTCTTTGTCGTTGGAATGATTTACTCTCATTTTTATCGCCATAATTCTTTCTGTACAGTATTTTGGGTCAGCAGCTTTTATTTAAGCGTAAACATCGTGTTGTTCACGTGTATCAAAAACTGGAGCATGCGGTCTCTCGGACAATGGATAATAGAAAGTAAAGTCTATCTATTATTTATCCATGCTTGGACGGAAAAAAAAAGGTTCAAGATTGCGATTCTGTTGTTGGGTCATTGACGAATATCCAGAGAAGAATGAATGGATTTGTGAAAGCAGATATACGTCGTCAAGTAAGTGTTTGTTTTGTGGGATTTTATTTGCCCTTAAACCCTTGCGCGGCGAGTATAACCATTACGATGCAGATTATGTTGGTTATACTCGCCGACACCTTTTCCAACGCATTGATGAACACAAGCACTCAGCTATTGGAAAACACCTGCGTGACTCTCACAATCAAAAGAACAAAGACCTCACTGAACAATTCACTATACTGAAGAAATGTCGTGGGAAATTTGAATGCTTGATCTACGAAATGCTTTTTATCCAGGAAATGAAACCCAAACTGAACACTCAATCAGACTCAATAAAAGCAAAACTATTTAGTACCTAATTAACACTCACTACATTCCACATTGTAGTTTTTAATCACATGCAACGAGACTTCACACGCATTCTTAATATATAAAGAACTTTTAACAATCTATCTTTTTAGAATTTGAAAATGATGAGCGAATCATCGAAACGTCATTCAAAATTTTTATCGTTGATTTTTATTCTTAAATGTTTAACGAAAGCGTCTGTTATTAAAATAGGAATAGGCTCAAAAAATAGGAAAAAATAGGAAGTGGACACCCTGTTAATATATGTACACTGTACAGTACGCATGATTTTTTTTTGTTTTCCTAACTTTTATCTTGTATGTAAAATTAAAGAAATATTTAATAAAAAATTAACAAAAAACTATTACCTTGTAATTTATAGGAAATTAACACTCCATGAAATTAATTAAGGTATTGGAAATTAACGCAACTTAAATTAACGCAAATTTAATGGCAAACGACTTTCGAATAAAGAAAATTAACGTGAAAGAGGAGGTAGAATTTCATAACAAAGGAAATTAAATTGCGATTAAGACACAGTTGGTGGTGACAACTGGAACAAATTTATTTTGACACTGGATGCAAAAAAATTCAAAACTGAACAAAACTGAGCCATGTGCTAGACACAACAGTATGCAAAATTCTAAACGCAGGGGTTACTCGACGGAATCTGGCCATTTCTAGCGCTTTTCACGCAGTCCATGATACCGGCCGATCTCCACCCTGATAAAATAATGCCCTTTCCTTTATCTGTTAAAAGCCATTCGTAGACTTCTTTCATTAGCTTGCTGTGGCTGTGGTATGCTTTGGAACAAGGAGCCAAATTTACAGGAAGAGTTATTTCAGTGACGCCGAAAACATCGCCACTAATTCAAGGAGGCCTTGAAATACCAAAGGTCATTTCTGTCCAGTAGAGCAATGTGAGAAGTCTGGTGATTTTGAAAGAGAGAACACAGGAAGTCTCCTACTCTGTAGAGAAAAACTATGTTGACGATTTTAAATCTATCTTGGCCGAAATCAAAGGAGAAGATATTGACATCACTTCTGACAGCAACAACGATGAGGATGAACTCGAAATATTGTAAACCTTCGCCTTAGCTTTTGTGAAAGATGAAAAATAAAGCGTAAATGGAAAGAAAGAAAGCTTATAGTTAAAGTTGTTTAGGTGTCAAGAATGTCTGGAAAGGTTCTAAAATTGGGGTTAAAATACTTGAAACTAAGAGCGTGGAAATTAACGCTGCACTTTAAATTAACGTCGCGGAAATTAACGTGACTGAAATTAACGTGAATTTTAACAATTTGCGTTTATTTCATGGAGCGTTAATTTCCTATAATAAAGTAAAAAATCAATCAATTAATCAATAATTTAAAACAACAAAGCTCTAAAAAGAAGAAACTACCTACAGTCTAAGATACAGTAATAAAATAATACTGCATGTAGTATTTAATATTATACTGATCAAAAACAACATACACTAAGTCATCTGGCAAATCCTCATCTTCCTCAACTCCTTTTACCTTTGGCTTTACAAGAATATGTTGAACTAAAAGAGAAAAGGATATTATGCTTTAAAAAATTATTAAATTAGGATGGACAACTTTTGGTTTTGTACTACATGTATATCATTACAGTGAAATCTCAATTTTTTCGAACGTCCAGGGGTAATGGAAATTGGTGTGAAAAATTGGAAGTTCAGAAAATGGAAGGTGGCATCTGAATCACACCCAAATTACATGGGTTTTGTTTTATAAATACCAAGAAGGTCACAGACAACAACATTGGTTTTACGAATCCTACAGTGTCCATGGCAATGTATGAACCATCTGATTAGAAACAAAACACACAATGTACTGTAAACTGAAAGATTATTCTAATGCATGGCCATTAACTTAGCAAACAAAAAAACATTAAGTACATATACACATTCTTGATACAATAATATTTGCAAACATTTATATTAGGTCCTGCCTCACTCTGCATCCACTCCACTAAAAATCTAAAGCTTTCATGCACTGTTTCCTGCTCAGTGTTTTTCAAAGCAGCAAGTGTATGCAGATGCAATTTGCAATTATAAGTTCAGTTCTCACCCATAGCCTTTCTGATGCTGGCCTCATACTGTACTTTGACTTCATCATACAACTCTTTAATGTGTGGCTGTAATTGAGGAGATGACACCAGTTTTGCTGGGATCATACTCAAGATAGCCTCCCACCGGTCAGCAGCCATTGGTGTGACAGGTCCTTCTTGGACACACTTCTTCATAAACTGATAATTTAACTACAAACAAACAAACAACTAATAAACTACCTGTAATTGTTCACAGTTTCAATTATTGCCTACAACATCGCATTGGACTGTAGAGTATTATAAAGCTTGGGTTCACAAACTTTCTGTGCCTTCATTAATTTTCAAAACCTGGCAGACAAAAACTCCAGCTGGTTCAAAAGACCATTGCGATTTCTGCTGTTACCGACAGTATAACTACCTGGATGGGCATTTGTATTATTTAAGCTACGTACAATTTTGTTTCTTCAAATCTTGTGATGCACTTAATTAATTGATCAAGTGAAATAATTATTTTTTTTAAAGCCCCTGGTTGCCTTTTTATTAGCCTATCCTTTATTTGAACTTGATATTGAACAACATTCAATGCAGAAAGGTTTATTTATAAAGCAAGAAACTACACAAATAGGCCTTTTGCATTAGTTGATCAGGTGATCAACTAGCTTTAGTGGTTTTCCATACAATTCCTTGTAAATTCTGAAATTTTTAATCCGTCATAAAATCTTTCCCTAAAGGGAAAACCATTTAAGGGCTCAAAGTGCCTGTTATATGAAATAAAGGGAGATTTGAGTCCCGTAATGCTTAAGGAAATATTTCACGACAGTTTGAAATTTTCGAAATTTACAAGGATTTGTACGGAATTAAAACCATTCAAGCATGACTGGGTGGCAAAAGTTACTGTTCTCATACAAATCCTTCTAATTTTTGGTGGCTGATGCAATCACTACTTTTGAGATATATGGCTGAAAATTTACAAGTTACCTAATAATTATTTTGCTAATGCTCTTTCAGCTCGTGCCAACAAAATTTTTCTAAAGCTAACTCTTTTCGTGTTAGCTGAAGTCATGTGATCAACTAATACAAAAGGTCTATTGAATGATTCTGCTCCTTTTAGCTATTTGTAAGCTAATGTACTGAAAGGGGCCATCATCAAATTAGATCATTTATGGTAATATTAATAATTTATTTTCCATTAACCCTTTGGTGACACCATGGATAATAGAAGACTGGATAGGAAACTTATGTCGCGTGAGCTGATTTCTTATCGCCGATTGGTTGGTTCATACTCCAAGATGGCTTAGGATGGTTCCATCATAGTGGAGATTTGTGACGAAATGATGGCGAAAATGTGGCGCAAACCAGTCAAAATGTAGGGTTTCTTTGCCTGCATGTTGTTCTTTTTCGGATTTTTTAGTGGTACTTTAATTCTTGGTGGGTGTTTTTTCCTTCGTTTGTTGTCTTACAGCGATGGCGATCCTTCAAGGCCACACTTAAACTCTATATCTGAATCACATTGTTTTTCAAACCAAAGATGGACTTGATTAGCACTATTATTGTATTCGGTTTTTCAGAGATCCAAAGCTACAATGTACCTGTAGATGATAACCTTACTAAGGTATATTCTAAATCAAATTAATAAAACATATACCTGTACTTGTTTGGGGTATACATTTTGTTTTCAACAACATGATAATGTGACCAGACAGTCATATTTTTTCAATCCCTCATCCACTTACCTCAGACTAAACAAGAACCCCATAACCCCTGATGTTACTGGGTTGTTGTTTTTTTTTCATATATATAAGCAGCTTATATTTTTCTTTGGGAACAGTGTTTATTTTTATTTCAGACATGATTTACAGTATTCCCTATCCATATCATTAACACTACACAAAAACTTAAACTTTGTTTCATCCTGAAAAGGTCAGTATTTCAAAGATAATACATTTCTAGGTTTTATTAAGCCTCATGGAAGACAAGTGTTTCCTAATGAAAAAGAAGTGAAGGTTCCACTATTAACCAGGAGAGTTTGCTTCCTAGTTGTATTCTAGTAGTTAACAATTACATAACAGTTTCACATAACATTTTTAAAAGCGTTGCAGTTAATTCGCTTTTTCAAAGACCTGACTGAAAAGTATCTTGGGTCACGGTACATTTATACCTGAAAATAACAAAACAACTGGCTTCACAATAAAAATTGATTTGAAAAAGTTTAGAAATGGCATTTCCATGGAGGTCCGTAAGCAAATTTCCTTTCTCTGCTGTGAGCTTTTCCCGCTTTTTTGTATTTCTCAAATACGACTTCTTGTCACTGGTTGTCCATAAATAAAATTGAAGGGAAAATTAAACGTTTGTTTGAGCTGGGTACTTTTACCGCTAATAAAATCATTTTGTCAAGGGTTGTTAAGGGAATGCGTCCAAATATCGGCATCGGGTCACGCCGATGCCGATCAATCGGGTGCCGATTTTTTCCGATTCCGTTTTCAATCGGTACCGATTGAAACGGAATCGGCACCGTTCAAAATTCTTCATCGGGCCAATTAACAGAATTCATCAAATCTTGACTTATATCTGTCAGCGTTTGTCAAAGGGTTGAAATCGTCGGTCACGCTACGTTACTGACAAAAATTATATAGGGCAATGTTTATGTCAACAAAAGCAAAGCGTGAATGATTGAGTTTTCAATGCACAAACAGGCTGGGTAAGACCAAGTGTTTATCGCCGTATTGTATCTTGTCTTTCTGAAATGTGTATTGTTTCAAAAAAAATTAGCGATAAATGCCTTCATCGAAGAGTTCTTATGGAAGACAATACCAGACAAGATGAAGAATTTTTGTATCGAGCATCTTTAAGCGAAAGATAGCGCGCTGAATGCATTTACGACCTTAGAATCCAAAACGCGTGATTGAAGAATCCTTGCTGGAGGAATTTTAAAATCGTTTAGCCAAGAAAATAGGGGACAGAATACTGTCAGATCAGGCATTCATGACATTGCGTGTACAGGAGCGAACTTGAACCGGCTAGAATCAGGCAAGTTGTTTATTTGCTTGTAAACTTCTCTCGTCGAGTCAAACTCACTGGATCTTTCATTGTTACGTTGATTGCACATTCCGTTGACGCTCCGAATTTTTTAAAAGAAACAACTAATTTTTCGCTCTTTTCTGAAACGAGATAAAACAAAGCTTTCTATAAAATGTATTAACTCGAGTTAAAGAAAGGAAAGAAAACTGCTTTTAACGATCCGGCTTGCGACGTGCGATACGTATTGGATACGTAGGCAGAAGCAACTTGAAAACGCCGTTCCCTATATTTTCAGCTCATCAGAAGTGAATTGAATTATGATAAACTTTTAATTGCAAGTGAAACAAAATACAAAATACAAAACTAGCTTGAAAGCAATGTTTACAAGTTATAGTTATACAGGTGACAACTACAAGTTTGAATAAGCTTTGTAAATAAACAGCAAGTTAGTACACTTATTTTATATATAATCTATTATAAGAATGTTGTTTTACCGGCCTACGCTGAATATTCTTATTGTTCTGTCGGTTTTCAGTTTGGCCGCTAGGCAGTCACGAATTTTTATGAGAGGTTTCGAAATATGACTCGCTCTACATTTTGTTAGAACAGCGTGGAAAAGTTTGTAAGCAATTACCGATCGGCTGACAGAAAACAAATCGTCGAACAGCCTTGTAGACATCTTCGAACCAACTTATAAGGCGAAAAAACATCTACTGAAGTATTGTTATAATTATTTTACTATTGAGAACAAAGCAAGTTTTAAAGACTGTTTTGTTGAGTGAAATGACTCTTTCATTATTTGGTTTCGTGACATGTTTGCAGAATCAC